CCCCCCCCCCCCCCCCCAAAAAAAAACCAAACATACGTAAATTACATGTTGGACCAGTAAAACCAGTTGCACATAAACATTCAGCCATTGTTGCAGCTATTTGTCTACAAGTACCACCATTTAGACATGTATTCATCGAACAAACCGAATCTAAATATTTTCCTTATATTATCCAAACAGAAAAAAAAAACTACAAATATTTTTTTCATACTCCATTCACAATGTGGTCCAGCAAAATCTGTTGAACAAATACATCGAATATTTGTATTATTATAATCACATGTACCTCCATTTAGACATATATTGGAATTACATAATGGACCCAAATCTATTTTAATAAAATATAAATTATTTATTTTCAATAAAAAAATTTATTCAACAACACATACATATTGAACAATCATAATGTCCAAATCCCGGTTGACATATACACATAAAATTATTTTGTGAACCAAGTGATATACAACTAGCTTGATTATAACATGGTTGTTGTTGACAATTATTTGTATATTGACATCGATCACCAGTTAAATAATCAGGACAAATACATTTATAACTTATAGAATTTGTATTTGATATTTGTTGACATGTTGATAAATAATGACAAGGTGAATTTGAACATGATGTTAATATATCTTAAAAGATAAAAATAAAAATAAAAGAAACTTGAAATTTAGTTTTTTTTTTATAATATAAAGATCTACTTGATGTGCATGATTGACCAACTAAACCATTTGGACAAATACAATAATAAGATGAATTCGATGTAGAAAAACAAGTACCATTATATCCACAAGGATTTTGTGAACAAATATTTATAAATGTTTGACAATATTGACCAGTATAACCCAAAGGACATATACATCCTACTGTATTATTACCAGATGTTGTATCTATATAACAAACACCATTATTTAAACAAATTGTATTTGTACATATGGATTGAATTATTTCACATCTTTAAAAAATATTAATTATCAAAAAGAAAATTTATTATTAAAATTTATTTCTTACCGAACACCGATTGTATTTGATCGACATTGACAATAAGTAATATTAGTTATTGGATTTATTAGACATATGCCTCCGTTGAGACAAGGATATATTAAACATGAAGTATCTTGTTGTTCACAATAAACACCAGTTGTACCAGTCAAACATATACAACTAACAAGACATGTTGTTGATGAACAATTAGTTGTCGATGAAATACATAGACCAGAATTATGACATGGCGATGATATACAACCACTTGCTAAACATTTAAAATAGAATTTTATTTATGAATATCATACAAGTTATCTTTGTAAAATAAATAAGAAGTTAATTTTAAATTCATTTCAAAGACAATAGAGTTTTTCTATTTAATTATTTTCATATATACCTGATGGTTATCCAACTAAATCCAACTCTTTACTTCCGTACAGAATCAGACAAACAATATCGTCTTGATAATTAAGATACGCTCTAGTAAAGCACTTCAGAATTAGTCTCAAAAACCAATAATTGAAAAACTCTATTTTATTTCCTGCAAACTTCGACTGTTGACAATCGAATGATGACGATGATGATTGACAGTTACAAATCTAATTCTGTAGAAAGTTTTGCTTATAACTGTCGGTATATATCAGTGTGTTATTATAAAATTTTAGTAACGGAATAGACTAGCTCATCTTTAAAAGCTTAAAGTTAGAATGTGATCTATAAAGTCCTATAGGATGAAACAATATGAATAAAAGAAAACTTGTATATCTAAGTAATTAAACATATCCTAAATCTTTTGATTGAAAAACAAGAATAAGAAAGTAATTTCTTCAATTTTTATTAAACTATTTTTATGATTTCAAGAATAATCAATAATTAGTTTACAATAATATGAATTCAACATTTGAGATTATTCATCTCTTTTTTTCTTACCATATTCACATCTTGTACCAACATAACCATTTTGACAATTACATTCATATATTCCATCTTTTATATTTGAACTTCGAACACAAATACCATTATTGAAACAGGGATTTGGTGTACATACATTTATAATTGAATCGCAATTAGTACCACCATATAGTGATAAACATTGACATGAATAAGTATTTGATAATACAGAACAACTACCATTATTTTTACATGGTGTACTTAAACATGGATTTCCATTAATTTCACAATTTTGACCTATATTTATAATTTATTATTATTATTATTATTATTTTTAATCTTGAAAAAACAAAAAGAAATTCTAAATAAATAACCTGTTGTTCCATTTGGACAATGACATGTATAACTACAGAGTAAACCCAAACAATTTGATGATACTATACAAGTACCTTGATTACATGGATTTGATAAACAACTATTGACTATAAAATATAAAAATAATATTCCATATATATATATGTATATGGTTTTGATTATTTCTCTTTTCTTTTCTTTTCTTACTGAATTCACATCGACTTCCAAAAAAACCAAAATTACATTGACATTGAAAACTTGTATTTGTCAATGTTACACAATTTCCATAAATACAAGGATTTGGTTGACATACACCACTCACAATTGTTTCACATTGTATACCAATATAACTATTTGTACATGTACAATTTGGTAAATTACATGATATATCTGTACATATAACTGAACAAGTGCTATTATTATGACAATAATCAATACAAGGATTATCTAAAATAAATTTTTTTTTTTTTTTTTTTTTTTATTATTTCAATTAAAGATTTATTAATTCATATAAACATACTTAATTGACAAAATTTTCCTCGATAAAGATCTGTACATAAACAAGTTCCATTGGCTAAACAAGTTCCTCCATTCATACATTCGCATAAATTCGTATTCGCGCTATTATTTGAAAATAATGGTGTTTGGCAAAGTACACCTGTATAATCATTTTTACATTGACATATGTATTGCGTTGTTGATGTTTGAAGACATATTCCATTGGACGAACATAGATTTGTTGAATTTTGACATGAACCATTCATAATTATAGATAATGGTAAAGTTAATGAAGTTGTTGCTAAAATAGATACTGTTGTGCTTGGTGTAATTGTTGAACCTGAAATACATGATGATGGTGGAAAACAAATACATTGTGCTACATCTGATATAATTTGTTGTAAACATGAACATGATGATATTGTACAAGTTGTTGTTAAACAACCACCTAAATTTAAAATTATTAGAATTGAAATATAAAAAAATATTAATTTTACTTGATACACAATTAATAAGACTTATACTAGTTTGTAACGGTATACGAAAAAAATGATGTTGAGGAATGAAATTATTTGTATCGTTTGATAATGTATATGAACCCATTGAAAACATAAGATAGAGATTTGAAATAAAATTAATATCTTGTATATCTCCTGTTGTTAAATATCGTTCAAATGAAACATAAATATATTTATCAGTAATATTTGTTTGAATAACACAAAAATCTTGTTGAGTATCAATTGACGGTACAACATGTCCTTGAGAATATCTATAATGGAAATTAAAAAAATTAAATAATAATTTATTTGCAGGAACACTTCTTAATTACCGATCTTGCACTATCTGAGTACCAGGAAAGAACATTGCAACATCCATATTATTCTAATCAATAAAAACAAAAAAAAATTCTTTTTATCAAATATCACATTTTCTTAATTTTGAAGACTAAAATCTATCTTGCTACTTAAACTATTACTATTTCTTTAAAAAAAAACACAAACCATAGTTGGTGCTGTATCAGACCATCCAATTGCAATATAAGTCGATGCAAGATTAATACTAGTTATTGTTTGTCCTAAAGTGTTTTTTTTTTATTAAAAACTTAATAATAATAATAATGATATGTATAATAAGTTAACCTTGAATAATAAATTGAACTGTATTCGAAGCCATATTGTATCGCCATGAAACAGTAAATGAACCAATAGTTGCATCTTGTATAGGCCATATACCACCAGAACATTGACCTTGTATTGCTATATGACAAAAAATAAAAAAATAATCAAAATGTTATTTCATTCATTCAGTCATTTTTATAATTAAACATACATTCAAAAAATTTAATGATTAAGAACAATAATAAGCAAAGGAAATATTTCATCTGAAAATAAAATACAATATACATGTAGTTTTACGTTCTATTACGATTATCTTATTTCTTTTGTAGATTCATTGTGAATCATTAACGATTGAAACTAAATTTGAACTCAAACACTCATAATGAATCATTTTCCATAAAATCTATTCGTCTATAGAAACTTATCCATAATTTCATAAATTCTACTTGAATTTCTTTATTGATAATTGTATTACCTGAGATGCCATTATATTTCAACATATTTCATCAACATCTATCTAGAGACTAATAGAAGTTTTAATGAAAATTTCTTTTGTGATCCGACATTGGATGCTAACATATATATATAAAAGTTAATCGAACTTGTAAACATATTACTTGCTTTCATTGATAATTCAATCTTGATGTTGTTATTATCGATATACATTCTTTTTTTATTCTACTTGCTTGTAGTTTTTTTTTTTTATATTGAGAAACAAATATTATAATCACATCAATAATCTCATCAAATTCATATTTAGCAAAATAGTAGGCGGTATTTCATCACATGTATATTTCGGTATAAGTCACGAGTTATTTTTATTTTCTTACTTATCAATTATTATAGAATAGAAATGAAATAAATTGATTTGTTAGATTTTTATTCAATAGATATTATAATTGATCAAAATTTAAGAATTCAATTATGAAATAGTTCTCAATTATTTAACATTGATAATCAATTTGAATAAATGAATGTTGAACGATGAAGCTCTATTGAAAACATAGGTTTTTTTTTTCAAGGATACAAACATCATATTGATTACAAATCAAAATGAATCAATTGATTCTGAAGACGAAATATCGAAGAAAAACTTAATACATTCCGTCGGCCATGAAAAGGTTTCACAAAGCAAATCAATGTCTGATTACATATAACTCACTTATATGATATAAAGATCAATAAAAAAGTTAATAATGTATTTTTCAAATAGAGAACTGAAGAAATGGATCTTGATTAAACTTGTTAATTGTTAAGATAATGTATTTTCTGATAGAAAAAAAAGAAAATGATTTTCTTATGAGAAAAATAGATAAAGAATAATATAATTACTCAAATCTATACGTTGAAAAAAAATAATCACTTATGTTATGTCTATGTGGAATAAGAAATTTTGAATCGTATTGAAATTTCTAAACATTCGAATTATAATTCAATTGATTATAGACAGAAAACAATAATTTAGATATTCTAAATAAATCATCTATTTAAATTCATTTGAATCTATTAGTGACTTTTTAGTTAGAAATTTTTTTTCTATTTGTTATGACTTATTTCTTAATTTACAATGCATTATATGTTATCGATAAATAATTGAAAAACAAAACAAAACCTAACTAACAAACACTCATTTCTTTTTTGTAATTTAACACATTCTACTTTAACATATATATATATGTGATTGCATAAATAAATAACGATTTCTTCTATAGAATAATTGCTGTATTAATTTTTTGCTAGTTTGCCTTCTTTACAATTCATCTCATGATATAATTATCTCACAGGAGGTATCTAAAAACAAAAATGAACACTAAACACATATGTATATAATATATTTAATTATTTAAAAAGATATCTAAAATTTTAAAACAATTTAGTTTCTATCATTCATATACATCATATAATTTTCAATTATGTTTACTTAACAAAACTTGCTCAACAATAACAACAACAATATTCGACCTCGTTCTTCTATTTGTAACTACAAGTGTACTTTAAATTTTTCTTTCAAATGATCTCGAAGTGTTTTTTTATGTAATACTAAAAAAAAACTTGTCAACCATTTTATGGTAAATAGTACAGTAAATAAAAAAAAAAGATTACAAAAGAATGATTGCATATACATATTCTTCTTCATTTTACATTTTGTTTTTTTCATTATCAATTATCACAAGTAGTTAATTGTTTTTCAATTAAACATCGATCAAGTAGCCATGATCGATCAGGTTCAGATTCTGGTGTTATAACACACATAAATAATTGTTGAGAATATCGATGTCTCATAAATAAACATACAGGTGTAAATGGTAGAACGTTTTCATTATCAGAATTTGTTGATATGTAATCACATAATTTATTATACAATTCAGGATAATGCTCTTCTATTTCAATTCCACGTTCACGTAATTCAACTTGTAATTTAGCAAAAAATACTTGACGCATATGATGATTATTATTATTATTATTCTTATTACCATAATTTAATGATGTTAAATATAAAGTAGGATATGTATTAGATAAATTCGAATTTAATTGAGAATTTGGTATAACATCAAGTAATTTATGAATAGTTGTTCGACTAACACATGTATAACGTGTATTACCTATTAAATAGATTTATAAGTTTATAATTGATAAAATTATTGTTTTCTTTTTAATTTTTATTTACCTTTATCTGCTTCTATTCCAATAGTAACATGACAAACAAGTTCTTTATTTGGATCATAAGTCATACAAAGTTCTTTTAAATGTTCATATTCAGTTAAACGAAGATTTTCTATAGCTCGATTTGTTTGTACATCTGTTACTGACCAATAAGTAGCCATTAAACGTGTATTTCCCATTGTATTTGATTGTACATAAGCATCAGCTTCTTTCATATTATCAAAATAAAGTAATATAGCACCACGTCCAGATGATAAATATCCACTTGATGCTAATTTAGTTAAACGTTTTAATAAATGAATATTACTTTTCATTAAACGTAATATATAACCACAACATGAATATGAATTTGATAGAATACATTGACGTTTATGTATTGGCCAATCAGATTTTTGACATATTTTACTACAATAGATTTGTTCACAATATGGACATGTAATTAATGATCGTTGTTTAGTTGTTGATGAAGTTAATTGAATAAGTCTTGAACAAGTTGTACAATGTTGAAGCTAGAAACAAACAAAAAAATATAAAAATAAAAATTTCAATATTATATATTGTCTAAATTATACTTGTTTCGTTTGAAGATTAAAATGTACACGATGAGGTCGAGGAATTTCAAATGATACAGTTGATTTTTGTTTAGGTATATCATTATTTTGTACAAAATTAATAACATAATTTGATTGATTAGTAACTTTATCTGTTTCTTCAGCAGCTAAATTTATCGAAAGTGGTATTGAAGACGAACGTCGATTTAAAACTGGATATGCACGTTCAACATAAGATTTTTCAATAGGTATATAACGATCGGGCAAGGGATTATGTAGCCACTTATCAAGACGAGAAACAAGTGTTTGTACTTGTTTATTAAGTGAAGGCCAATCGACTAAATCTTTCAATGTATCATCTTCTTCAGATATTTCTGATTTATCCGAATCAATTTCAACAATAATTTTTGATGATGGTGATGATGATGTTGTTGTTGTTGTTAATAAACGTTCCGAAGCAGATGTATAAGCACTATCATCTTTATTTAATATTGTACTACTATTACTACCTAATGTAGTACTAGTTGTAGTAACACTTGCATATCCTTCATCTGCATCACCATATTGACGATGATGATGATGGTGATGATGATGATGAAATATTTTATGTTTATTAATATTTGGTGAATTATTTGTTGAACTTCCACTAACACTACTACAACTTGTTGATGATGTATATGTACATAATTTTCGTACTTTGGATTGTTTAATCAAAGGATACGATTGATAATTATTATCAGTTTTAATCATTAAGAAAATTATATCTGAAAATAAAAACATATATATATATAATTGAAGAAATGTATGAATGAAGAAAAATTAACATTTTGTTCATTCATTCTTGCATATAACTATAAAATCAAACAAAGGTATTGTTCTTTTTCTTTTTTTTTTAATATTTACAAAGTTCACATGAATAGAAATGTTCAACGACATCCTTGGTTAAAATGCATGTATGTCTATTTAAACACTTATCATTTCAAAACAAAACAAAAACAGTTGATCATCATCAAACGATTTGAAAAGTAAATGTCTAAAACGAACTACATATTGACACTGAGACAAAAAAAAAGCTTGTAGAAAATGAATACTTACCTTGTACTTAAAAGAGAATGCAATGCCATGTCGTTGAACGTATTCTTTTCACTTTCTTTTTTATTCAATTTTTTTCCCTCCTGTTTATTCTTTACGCCATAGTAAGATCGATTGCTATTTGAATATGTAGACGTAAGCGTATATATGTCAAAAAGAAGAAAAAAAAAAAAAAAAAGAAACGAAAGACGAATGAAGTTTGAATTTGATTCAAACCGTACAATTAAATCTAAGGTATCCGTAACATACATTTTCAAGAGTAAGTATACATAAAAAGTTTTTTGCTGTAAGCACATTGCGCATACAATTCAATACGATAATGGATGACGATGCAATTTAATAATCAAATATGTTTGTGTTAGAATAAAATAATGACAAAGAATTCAAATCCTTTTTCATAATACATTATTATTTCACAACTAGAACAAAATTGTTCACAAGAAACAAGAACATATACATATATATGTATTCAATTTTTAATATATGTTCAATTTAACATTTATTTTCTTGCTTCCTTATTACATCACTAAGAAAAATTTTAATAATTATGCTTTTTTTTTTTAATGTCATCTCTAATGAGCCTAATCAACTTAGAAGAAGAAATACATGACAATCACGCAAACAATGGCCGACGGGCTCTTCGTCATTTTTCTTATACATAATCAAAGAAAGTGATCTGATTGCACAATAAACAGAAAGGACAATTCTCTTAGCTATGTGTATCTAATGAAATCTATCAAAAATGTTATGATGTAATCAACAACAAAAAAAAAGTTTTTTTTTTTTTCTTCCTTGTTCGTCATAACATAATAACAATAACAATATTTAAAGTATAATTATCGAGGAAACCTTGAAAAATAAACGAGCTTATTGATTTGATATTGTTGTTTTGAAGAAGAAAAAGATTGACATGGATTATATGTCGATAGCATATGTATTCTTATCATGTTTACGATTTCATCAGTAATAATTATGAAATGCGTTTGTATTTTTGTAGCAATCAATTTACTTTCTCTGATAATTCATTCATTAGAAAATGAGAAAAAAAAAATCTATTATCATTTATTCTAAACACAACAAGACAACTTCGATATACATAATGTTTGTAATGATAATGTAAACTAAGAAGAAGAAGAACAAGAAAATATTTCGGCATGAACATAGGTCCCGATTATCAATAAATTACGTCGGACAGTATAAAGAAAATACAACATAACAGAATCGACTGTCCATCATAATAATGCGTATTATATTATCAGAGAATAGTAGCAAAAAAAAACATAGAGAGATATTTTCTTGTATACTTTAGTAATCATTTAGTACAGAAAAGAAGTTCGAGTTCATTTCAAGATTGATATTATCAGAGAAAAAACATGGCTACTTATTATTCTTATATATTATCTCTATTGGTTTTATTACTGATTACACATGTGAGTATTAAAAATAAAAATCGAATAGTTAATTGATTATTTTTCTTTTTTGATTATGCCCTACTCTAGTGGGCTAAGACTGCTAGTCTTCGTTTTCCATTATATTCATTTGAAAATAATGTTTTCGATCAACAAAATTCTTCAATAACGAATACTGAATATTCAAAATCAAAATCTCAATTACCTTTAATCAAACAATATATGCGTTGGAATAAAAGTATAACTAATGATGAAATTGAAAATGCATTGGATAAACTATTAGTATCTGTAAAGAATTCTACTGATATATCTTCATTAAATTCAACAATGACTAGTATTCTATTGAATTTTGAAACAAAAGAATCAAATTCATCAATAATTGAAAATTTTGATAATTTAATTAATTCAACAATTTCATTTCAATTCAATATGACAACATTTGAAGTATATTCAAATGAGAATACAACTATGAACTATTTATTATTGACACAAAATTCAACAGAATTAAATCAAACAGATGATCAAACGACAATTTCAATTATTGAAAATGTTTTACAAGATAACAAAACAGATACAACTTTTTCATCGAAAATATTCAATGAATTTATTCTTATTGATTCACTAGATACACAAACATCTGTAACAAATAATACTGATATTTATCAAATAATTACTAATGATAAAAACGAATCTATAATTGATGAAATCAATAATTTACCTAATGAATTTCAATCATCATCATCATCATTTTCAATTATTTTCAATCAAACTATTCATGAAGTTGAACCAACTACTGCTATTATTCATTTAGATTACACTACAATATCTTATAATATAACAGATAATAATCAAACATATGAATGGGATTTAATATTTAATGATAAAACAGAAACAATGCCATCTCATGATTCTTCTACAATTTCAACAAATAATGAATTTGCAATCAAGTCAAAGATTATTGATCAAGAAATGAATATAAATAATACGAATATAATTATTTATGATACGAATCAAAATTTTAATGAAACTTCTATTTTATCATCAATATCAATATGTGATCGTTCATGTCAATGTTTAAAACAATGTCCATATGGCTTTGAAATTCTTAATGATATATGTCGATGTAATTCACCATGTCAAGTAAGTTATTAACAAAATTAAAAAAAAAAGAAGATTTTTCTTTTTGAAATATTCTCATTTAAATAGAATTATCAATGTTTTGGTAATGATACATGTATTATAACAAATAAAGGACAACCTTTATGTCAATCAAAAAACAACACCGAACATGGTAACAAGAACCTAAAAATGATTATTAAAAAAAAATTTTTGTAATTTTTATTTTTTAGATCGTCCAATTCGTTGTTATCAACCACGAGATGCTGGATATCATGATATTAATATTCAATATCATAATCGTTGGTATTATAATCCTGATCAAGATGCTTGTCATTTATTTGTTTATCGTGGTTTGGGTGGAAATGAAAATAATTTTCAAACATTACATGAATGTCATTTAGAATGTATAAGTAAGTTTCTTTTTTATAAGAATTGCATTATTTCTTTTGTTTTTGTTATATTTTTAGTATGTGCTCCATTACCTGATCCAGGTGAATGTTTAGGTCATATTAATATGTGGTATTATGATAATAAAAAAAATGAATGTACACAATTTGAATATTCAGGTTGTAAAGGTAATCGAAATAAATTTTTAAAAAAAGAACAATGTATTAATACATGTATTAATCGTGTGTTTGATTTAAAATAATTTAAAAAAAAAACACATTTTGATTTGTATTTAAATCTTTTAATATTATTAATTTTTTTGTGTGTTTGTATATGTAAACATTTGTTTTGTTTTTGATAAAGTTTCATTAATGTTGAATTGTATACTTTAAAATATTTCATTCAAAGAATAGTGACCAGTTATTGGAATCTTATTTTTTTGGCTATATGATAGTTGACTTCATTTAACATTTGTAGATATTAGAATGAAAGAAACTTTCCGTATGTTAGGAGAAAATTTAAATTTCATGAAAGAAAAAAAAAAGCACTTTATCAAAAAGTTGATTACCTATTCCATCTATCATATTGTTATTAGATAAAGATTGTTAATTTTAATAAATAGTTTTATCATTACCGAAAGATTGAAAATTGTTGAATATTTGTAAAATCGAAGTTATAATCTCATCGTAATTTTGGTTGAATGATTGTTAGATGCAGATGCATATTTACAATTAAAATTACATATGTTATGGATGTGGGTGTAGCTATGTAGTTGCATTTATGTCTATGTGGGTGGGTGAATTGAAGACATACACCCAATACTCTCAAGAGGTTATTCTCGATAATAGTAATTACACAACTACTAAAGAATACTTATATTTCAATTGAACTAAGTTCTACAGGTTTTTCTTGAATAGACAAGAGGAATCAATTGAAACTGGTGTTTTATCCTCTGCTTGATACTAAATAAAACGAACAAAGAAAAATGTTTTCTTCACCTTGTCAAGCAAATGAGTCTTTCGAATACATTCCATGTCAATGAATAAACTTCAATTGCTGTAGATCTATATATATATATAGATATAGATATATCTTTAAAGAACGACTTCTTTTCAATATGAATATGATTTTTATTTAATTGCCTTCAAAGAATGTTTAAATGTATTTAATAAAAAGATTAAAAGAAAACAAAAAGAAAAGTGATGTGTGATTAAAATTGAATTTTCATTGGTTTAGGTAATTTTGTTTTATGTTCAAGTAACATATCAGTATCCATAGCAATACCAGCACATGCTGAAAGAATATTTGTTATACAACGATGTTGTTTAAAAAGTGCATTTATAACAGGTGTACCCGATGGAACCATTGGAGCTTTAAGAAGATAAGAAAGTATTGATAAAACAGATTCAAATGTTTGATATTGATCATTATCATTTGTTGTATATGTAATACGTGTCATTAATTCAGTTAAAATAACTAAATCAATTATTAATGGTGAAGCTAAAAGTGAATCTTCACATGTATTATGAATAACTATTGTATTAAGACCATTCATAAATATTGAGGATATATATTCATCCATAGCTCGTTTTGAATCTAACAAAAAAAACAAAAACATTTTTATTTAATTGAATTTCAAAAAACAAAAAATTTATGTTTTTTTACCTTTAACAAATGGTACATATTTAATAACAACAACATGATCAGGATGTTCATTAATTTTTTTATTATAAAGTAAATGATTAGCACCAACCATATCATCAACAACATTTGATTTACTTATTTCTTTTGAACGAAATTGTTGTGGTGCACTTAAATTTTTCCCATCATTATTACCTAAATGATTATATGAAACAATTGATTGAAGTTTTAAACCAGCTGAAACAAGAAAATCAACAAGAACAGATTTTAATTTTGTTTGTCCACTTTTAAAATCATCACCACCAATAAAAACATGATTTTTTTCAGCAAGATCAATTATTCCTGGTACTAATGTATTTTGTGGACTACCATTTATATATGGACAATTTTCTAAAATAGCTGCACAAGCAAATATATTCGATGGACTTATTTCATCTTCATTATTAGCAATAGATTGAAGAAGTTCTTCACCTGTTGTATTTAAACCTGAAAGAACTAGAAAGACAAAAAAAAAAGAAGTTAGAAAAACAAGAAATCCGTTTCTTTTGTACCATCAACATAACGTTCAGTATTAGCTGTCCATAAAATAATAACTTGTTCTAAATTATGAATTTTTTTAAATGTTCGAATATCATTTCTTATATGTTCTAAATCATTTTGTTTTGTTCCTTTTGAAATTAAATTATTTGCACGATCTTCTTGATTTGCAGCAATAAAATCTGAATAATAAATTGATGGTAATGGTTTTAATTGTAACATTTTAGATTTTAATTTTTCTTGTAATGCATAATCAAATACACATGCTCGTTCCATAGCTTCATATAAATTTGCTTCATTTATATCCCATCCACCAATAACAATATCATTTGGATGTAACATTGGTAATATTGTATTAAATGGTATATGAACTTCTTTACCTTCATTATTACTTCCAAGACGAATTGTTGTTGATTGAGTTAATGAACCATAATAATTTGGATATTGTTCACCCTCTAAATAAAATGTCAATTAATAATCAACAATCTGAATATTGACTGAGAAAAATTTTTGGATAATATTAATATAATCTTTCAAATGATTAGTTTAAAATAAATTTATAAGGGTATTTCTCTAGATGTTCAATTACTTTGCCATGAAGACAATATTCATTTGATAAGTAACAGAAAAATCTAGAATGGTTTGATCTTTTGTTTTTGAGATAACAGAATTTTACTAGATTTGTCAACAAAAAAAAAAAAACAAAACAAATAGTTAAATGTATTTTTCACCTTTACGCATCCATGTTATTTGATCACGATTAGCAATAATAGCACCAGTAACTGTTGAACCATTATTTCCACCCCAACCAACAAGCATAACACCTGTACGTTGTACTTGACGTTTTGTACGAAAATTATATTGATATTTTCGTGGAATAATTTTAACTTGTTTTGTTTGATGATCAATTTCACAATGATTCATTTCATATATATATTTACTTTCAATAAATTCATTTGAATAAATTGTATTTCTACCAGTAACTTGAATTGAATAATCAGATGGTACACCTAAAACAAAAGATAAATGAAATAAAAGTTTAAAAAAAAATAAATAAATATTTGAAATTTTTACCATCATGATCAGCTGGATTAATAGTTTGATCATCTTCACTAAGTATATTTACTTCAACAATAGCTGTTGATTTTGAATTCGATTGTATTGTTGAAACATGGCCATTAGCTGGCATTGTTCTTTTTGTTTTTTATTATACTAAAAAAAAAAACAAATACTCAAATCAATGATCACTAGAACAATACAACATACAATTTAAGTGTATAAATTTATACTTCTTCGATTAAGAGATCGAAAGAAATAAGGTTTGAGTTATTATACTAAAAAATATCATATATATATGTATATATAGATGGATGCAAGCATCAAGGTCAGATAAAGTGCATTGCACGCATCATTGAGTTCGATGTAAACCATGAAACAAAACAAACTTTTCGTTTGGGCTATTATTCACCTTTAACCTATCAGTTTTTGTATTAAAAATCATCCTATGGACTATATCAAATATTTGCTTATATGAATAATTCTGATGTTCTTTATGAATAAATTTCTATTGATTTTGTACATAACCTCGAGAAATAATTCGTACTAAATATAAATAAGGGCAAAAGAACTATTCTCTTGGTAAATATACTTCATCGTGTAGTGAATTGAACCAAATAACTAAAATCAATATACTTAAAGAACTACAATATCGTAATCTTAAAGCAACAGTGTGTAATATATTATCGAAATTATAAAAAAAGACTTACAAAAAAAAATATTACTTATCAAGAAACTAGTTCTTTATGATTTAGACAAAATTTGTGTTGTAGATATCAAATAATCGCATTCAGGATGCATGCCACGTTTTTTCGCGATCCGAATCGGTTGGTTTTGTTCTTTTTGATCATCCTATAGTCTGAATCGGTGGTCTTCATTCATTGGAAAGATTTAGAGACTCGAAGCCCGTTTTTGAATGTAGGAGGTTTCGGGTCGTTTTTTAGAAGCCAAATTTTGCCCATTTCTTTGACATACTTGATCCAATCGAACTGAAACTTTTGTCATAAGTACTAAACACGGTTTATAGTGAATATTTTCTGTTATTTAAGCTTCCCTCAGAAAAGCTTCTTTTGCTGAAATAAAAAATTTGGATCTTTAATTTTAATTAGCGATTTTTTGGCCAAAGAATTGAGAATTTCCCGAAAAAGTTTTTATATGAAACAAATAGAGAGAAATTCAAAAATTGAGCACCTATATAGGCCTAGCCGTAAGTGTACTCTACAATTTAAAAACCATTCGGACATGTTAGCTCGTATCCTCATTTTGAAAATCTTCCCTGCATAAAGGGTACTTTTGATCAATGAATTGACTATAACTAGTGAGTATCTTGGAGATCATTTTGGTTGAAAAATAAAAAAGTTTATTTATGAGAAAGGTTTAAAAAATCACTGCTGCTGTGTTTTTTGGCATGCCTTACAAAACATGAGCTATTGCAAAAAAAAAACTGCTTTTCAAGGTACTCGTATTTATTTTTGTTTATTTGAAGAAAGCTAAGAAAAATACCCACTTCAAACGGGGTGTAGTATCTGAGTAAAAACAATCTCAGCGCGATCGAAGACACGACTTTCAGATCCAAGTTCACCGAAGCGTGGACTTGCAGCTTTCTACATTAATTGCATAGAACATGTTCTTGTTTGATCTCGTTTACATAAATAATCAATTAACTATTCAATTTCTTTTGTTATTAACATATTACTCTTTTCATCTAAGCAAAAACTTTTAGTTTATTAAGTATCACATGAAGAGAAAATGAACAAGAAGAATTAAAATTGTACGTTGATCTTTGTTTTTGTTTTTTTTGAGAGCAGCCAATAAATAGCTAAAACCTTGATTCTTCACTTGTTCGTAAACACGGATGTTGCCAGATATTGGTAAAAAAGAACTCGGATCTTGGTCTAATATGACAAGTTTTTACTCTACTTATCTTGAAAATTTCAATGTTGTTGGTTCACTTTCCATGTAATTATTTTCTTTTGTTAATTGGTTTAGAAAATAATTTTATTTAAAGAAACACATTCGTCGAATCTG